GGCTTTCACGCATCAGAGTCGTCTTGGTGATCATTGGTAATCGTCATGGTTACCGCTCTGTGTTTGAGGAAATAGCGACTCACAGAGGCCACGCGTCTCAGCAGAGGCCTCTCAGGAGCGGGGGTGACAGAGCTGGGGAGGGGACTGGTGCTCCCCATGTTCAGGGCCACGCAGTGGACACAGTGATAGGCTGTGTCCAAGGAAGGGGTTAGCATGGTCGGACCACACCAGCCGTGTGACCTGCTACCGAGTCTCATTCCCTGTCTGTTCTCCTTCGCGTTGACTTTTGAGACTAATTGCCGCCTCCCTGACACACTGCCCTTTGTACCGGAGGCCATGAGGATTATGGCTTGGTCATTAGGACAGAAGATTCATGGAAAAATTCCATTCGGTTTTCATTCCATTTTTCCACAAACTTTTTGCAGCCCCCTCGCCCGCTGCCACTGAACTCACATCCTGGAATTCATTTCTTAGCAACCACGGCGTTTTAAGGGGAAAGAGCACCTGATGGGTCTTGACCTCCTTGCTGTGTATTCAAACTCACCTGGAACAGGAGTGACTTAATTACAAGTCACACGTGGGCCGAATGCACAGGATTGGTGGGGGTGCCTTTCCATCCTGGATGGGGAGCTTCTAGCCAGCGTGGCACTGGATACGGGGATGTCTTGTCCAGGATTTGCAGTTGGGTGAATTTTTTACTGGGTGGAGAAACAAAACAAAGGGCACATTCAACTTAGCGTCTGCTTGCGAGTAGTCCTTGATCCTGAATTTGTTGCCGCAAGCTGGGTTATTCGGTTGGGGGGGGGGGTTCTTATGTAAACCACCCGGTACCAATCCTGAAACATACTCTTCTTTGTCAAACACCACACAAGTAAACCCTGTGAGTGAGTCCCTAGCACATAGAAAAGTTTACATAGCCAGTAGATTGATCATCTGGGACCCTAGTGTAAGTGGAAAATTACACGCAGTTATCTATATAACTGCGTACACAGTTCCTTTTATTCCGTAAGTTAGGTAAGAGGCGGTCTCCTTCAGAAGGTTCCAGCTGAGATTGGCCTCCATCAATGTAGCCTGACTGCCCTCTAGTGTTCGCAAAGAGAAACATTCATTCCATTTAAAAAAGGGGGAAAACGCTGGCAATACCTTAAAATTTCAGCAGACCGTGTAACCACGAGGCATGCGTCTGTGTGTCTGACACCCACGGGGCAGCCTAGGGGAAGGAGACACCTCAGGTCCAGGCTCGCTCTCCCTCTCCTGATGGCATAATAACGGGAGCTGCTCGGCGACACGTCGATGCCCAGTTTGTGGAGAGGCACGGTGAGCCAGTTCAGGGCTTGAATGATGTGAACATGGCAGAGTTTCACCTCGAAAGTAGGCTCCCACACCGCCGTCAGAGGACACGCCGGGCGGAGCCCGGGCTCCCCGCCGCCGCTATGCCAGGGCGACTGTTCTCTGGCCGGGCTGCAGGGCAAGCGCAGGAAAGGCTCATGAGGGCGCGATGAGGGCAGAGCTTTGGGAAACTCGGCGCTGACTGCCCTGCGCGTGCCTCTTTCTCCCTCCTGGTTAGCTGAGTGTGGATGAATTAAACAAGGACAGCAGAAGACACAGACCCACAGACACAGCTGGTCCTGCCGCCGCGAGTTAGCAAATCAATAGCCGAGGAAGTGCAGGTGGATTGGAGCAGCGGCGAAGCGCTCTCACGTCCAAGTCCCACACTGTTCGACTGACACCAGCACGGGCAATTAATTGTTTCATTGGCATAATTCTTCATTTCTATGACAGTTGTA